TAACCACAAACCACATCCAGTTAAATCAGTCAGCTTTCCCTGAATGAAAGTAGAGCATGTTGTATATGCGGTTAATGAGAACTCAGAATGAGGAATCTTTTCTCTGAGTCTTTATCCATTAGCTTCACGTCTATTGGATTGATAATGTGTAGAGATCACAGTAAATGTCAGTACAAAGGTGATATGTACCATTGTCATCTGTATGCTAAAAGTAACATTCAACTAGAGATGTTCGGTGCTCTATAGGCATTTGGATTGACTCCAGTCTTGCCTCTGAGGTCAAAAATCAACAGAAAGATGATGAAATAGAATATTTTATGTATCCCCTTGCACATTAAGGTTTTATAGAATATTTCACGGGCAATTATAACCTCTTCATGCTCCTTTTATTACTATGACACTTCCAATTAAATGAAACAACCATTGGCAGTCAATAGGGGGTTAATGTTTTTACAAGGTGCTTCTTCTGTCGGAGTATAAAAATAGATAAATCAAGCTAATAACTGTGGACATTAAGGAATCAATTGCCTTGTATTTACTATGGGCTCAATGGTCCACCCTCTCCCATGTACATAAATATAATGTAGGCCTTTAGGTTTGAAGCATAATTTTAAAGTCATAAACATACTTTATAAGTACACTGAACTAGTATATAAGACAGAAAATACCTCTAGGAGTTAAAAATTGGCATCAGTTTACATCAAAAGCACTAAAGAAGAGCCTTGAAAATAGAAATTTGCGGAAAACCAGCTGATTGCTTCAATTTCCTCTAATTTTTTCTTATGGAAGGAAATAAAAAGGACTAAGATGTGCTATGAATATGTTGGGATATATACCAACTCCCCAAAATAAATGCATTCATTATATATTGGGAACACATACTAATTAAAAAAAAACTAGGGAACTGAGCCACAGACATGTTAAGTACTTTAGTCACACCACGGTGAAATAACTTAATTCTACCATGAAATAAAAGAGTCTCAGGATTTGAGATGATTCCCATTTTGCTCTAAGTATAGATACTACTGAAAATACAAGTGTTTTCCTTCTTAATGTCCATAGATAAGCCTAAAATCCATTGGGGGAGGAGACATAGTCCTGAGAAATCTTATTAGGGAATCTTTAACCTGCAATGGGAGTTGTCAGCCTTTGTAGCATGGTGGTCTTAGAAATGACCTCAGGAGAAGTAAAAGGAATGCTACCTAACTTACTGTCCTCAGTAGTACATTATGAAAGGTTGAGTAATAATGAACTCTAAAACATACCATGCAGACTCCAAAAATTTGGAATCTAAAGACCTACCCTGGCTGTGTGACTTTGGGCAAATTACCCAGCCTAATAAAACACTTTATTTAACAAGTGGAAGAAATACAACATCATCTTTCTTCTTAAATTTATGGTAATAATAAAGAATTGAATGTATGAGAATGTATTATAAAGGCCTTTATAAATGGTTAACATTATTTATCACAGTATTTTTCAGATGAAAAATCAGACTGAGAAATCTGCTTTCCAAATCCTTACCCAGAGATTTCATCAACTTGATCTTGTAATAATCAATCAATTTGATCTGATCAATACTGTATAACAATCACAGTACATGTGCATCATAATCATTAAAGGCCTATGATAACTACAGGGCTTTAGCAATTAGTAAAGAGATGATGAATTAGTGGGATTTATTCATAGCAGAATCTATAATAATAGAGTCCCCAAGTGACTTTAAATGAGATTTATACGTTGAAAATCAGATCATTCAAATGACTCCAGACCACCTATTGAAAGATCCCAGGAGACCTGTCCAGTTACAAGAACAAAACTGTTGATTACAAATGAAGTCAGAACTTGACTCTAAGTTTACTAGTAACAGGAAAAGGAAAGGGAATGTGTAAGTTATTATTTGAGATTCAAAGAGCCAAACCTATTTACTTTTAAATAAAGGTATGCTTCTGAGTCCTAACTAAAATGTATAGCAATAACTTTTCTACTTTACTAGACAGATGATTGCTGTTTATACTAGAAGGACATAATAAGCAAAGCTGTTTTACATTTAGTCATCCAAATGGGTAAAGAATTTTGAACAAAATAAATAAAATGCATTGTTTAGATTAGCCTCAAATGTGAAGGGCCAGAAATGTGAACTATTTTTCTCTACAAGGAGGCATGCCCAGGGCAGCCAAAGTAAAGAGGTACATGTCTAATTAGTGTGTTTGTCACTAAGAATGCCTTTCAAGCTTTGGAAAATTTTTCTTGCATTAATTTGCATAGCTCGTTCTTATTCAACACTTAATTGCATTTCTTCTTTCAGTATGCTTGTTTCTCTCTACTCGGTTTTTAACCACTGCAGTAATAGTATTCTTAAATTGTCAAAATTTAAGAACTAAGTAGAACCTATTGCTGTAATTGAGTGTTAACTCACCAGAATTCTAGCAAAGATAATGACAGGGATCAGTATTTATTATGGCCAAGAAAAACAAGTATTTCCTAGATCATCAAAATGAACGAATTTTCCGTAGTGGGCTTTTATCCTCCTTGGGTTATTTTCCACATTTTTTGGCAGGGGTGTTATTAGTAATGGTAATAGTAATAGTAATGGTAGACAAGGCTTCTCATTCACTGCAGTTCCAACTCCAATGCTCATAATAATAGAAGTTATAATGTATAGCAACATTGCAGTAATGGAAATTAGAACACAAATTCTTGTGTATTTTGACTTCGTTCCTTGGAAACGGTGAAATTTCACTTTGGAAATATGGGTGATTGTAGTCTTGGAAAACTCCCTGAGCAATGGAAGCGGCAGTTAATGGTTCCTTATGATCTGAAAATTGGGTTTCAGGGAATACAGAATAATGTCTTGTCCAGCCTATGTTGAAATACTGAGGGAGTCATGTAATAGCTCATTGATTTTAAACATTAACAATAATAATTAGATAGAATTTAAAGAGGTTGATCTAGAGAAGGTCAGAGTAGAAGAGATTACCAGAGACTGGGAAGAGGAGACCGAAGGGAGCGTGACAGGAGATTGGTCAACATAAGAAATTCTGGTGTTCTGTGGCACAGAAAATGAATACAGTTAACAATAATGCATTGTCTGTCTCAAGTAGTTAGATGAAGATTTTTAATATACTCGGTAAAAAAATATGATAAATGCCTAAGGGGATGGATACGCTAGTTACCCCAGTTACCCCAAGTTGGTCATTGTCCCCTACGGTATAGCCATGAATGAAAACGTTACATGGTATTCATAAATGCATGCAAGTGCTATGTGTCAATCAAAAATTGTTTAATGAAAAAAGGAAAACAATGAAGTATCTGAAATCATCAAATTTTGTAACTATTTCTGGGAATTAGTGCTGCTTCTCTTATGTAGCTGTTTTGGAGAATGGATTTGGCGCTGCTTTAAAATTATCTTCCTGCCTTGAATTACTTCCCTCTGTCCTCTGAGTCAAACAGATTCTTCTATCAGTGCATAGAGATACAGAGAGGGGATAGAATCACCTGGAGCTGTTCTCTCTGAGAAAATTCTGTCACGGTGCAATTCAAACATTTTACTTAAAGATGGCATCTTTAGAATTTTTGTATCCATTTTAACAATGAAATTTTAAATGCATGCTGATGAGGATAAGAATAGAAATAAATCATAATCCCCCCCAAAATACTTATTCTTTATGTTTATAATTTTAAACTTGTGTCACTAGACTCTGAACATTAAGAATATGACCAAAAGTCTACACAGAAATATAATAGAAATAATAACCACATCAACATCATGTCTCCTAGTAAAAACTTTCAAGATCTTTTTAATAAATGAAAAATTATTTACTAAATCTGTAAATAACTAGATTTAATTCTACAATAGCTTGCTTAAAAACCACAATTCAAAATTTGAAGAAATAAACAGCAAAACATACCGATAAAATTATAAGTGAGGTAACACCACTTTGATAGCAGCCTTAGATACTTAGTTAACTCATGATTGCCTAATGACAATTGCATTGTCACAAGTAATTTGCTTTGCATTTTATTTTCTAATACTGTGTGTGTCCCTTTGCATATTTACTCTTAATTGTGCATTTCATAGTTTAATATTTAAATCACTTAGCATTCCCTGAGCTGGCTATTCTTTCAGACAGCTAAAGACCTTGGAGGCAAGGAGCCAGTGTAGGATTAACAATTTGTCACGGATAGTCCACAAAGTAAATAAATCTAGTGTGAATAATTGAAAATGGGCTAGAGTCATAACATAGAACTATTGAAAGTTAATTCAAAGCCGAAGTCCTCCATGGTAAATTCTCTCTCGTTATCCAACTGCTAGCATATGCTGGCATTGCTAACTCTCCTAATAGGCATTTATGAGTTGTTAATATTTTACCATCTTACCTGGAAACATATAGACTTTATCTTCTTGATGGGATTCTACTATTATAAAGGCTTGAGCAACCTGAGAAATTTGAAAGCTTCTCCAAAGGTATTTAGTCCTCTTTCAATTAAAAACAGACAAAAGGAACGGACAGCATTCTCTGAAATTTAACATGTGCCATTTCTAAAATGCCCTACAGTAAATTCGCAGTTTAAGAAAATCTAAATAAATACCATGAAAATAAATCTATTTGTAAAAAGGGACTTTCATGCTAGTTAACATCAAAATAATAAGGGACTAATGATAGAAAATTTGGATGTCTATAATACTGTATTAGCATTTTTTATCCTAATTATTTTTTCTAGGGAATAGTCATTTTTCCCACAATTAAAGTTGTATATATATCGTAGATTTCTGATTTTTCAGTCTGCAAAGTACTTTCGAATTCTATGAGAATTGTTACTTTATCCATGCCAAGTGTTATTAATCAGACACTAAGACTTTATTTCCCTTTTTAAAAATGTAACTGTTATGATATTTTTATTTTCAAAATATGATTGCACTTGACTTGGAGATATTTTACAGATAGTTTTGTCTGGGCATCTTTTTCTTACTGGATGTCGTGTTTTCCTCATCCTAGGTTTCATATACACTGGAGAAGTTGTACATCGAATGCTCACGGCCACACAGTACATTGCACCTTTAATGGCAAATTTTGATCCCAGCGTATCCAGAAATTCAACAGTCAGATATTTTGATAACGGTGTGTATTGATCAGCCTATTTTGTCGAATGTACATTTTGAAACATTGAACATGAGATTCGTGTTAACATTTCTGTAAGATTCCGGGGTCCTCTTGCAGGTTGGTGGCTAGGACAGATTTGTAAATGGTAAATGTCCTGAAACAGTGAATATTGTTAACCGTTAGGATGTCATAAAGTGCATGGCCAGATGGTACTCATTCTTCACTTATTCTTCATTCATTTAATAAATGTTTATTAACACCTCATCTACAGTATAATAAGAGTTGTTGTAGATAACATCTCAAGCAAAGCAAATACATTTATTAGATCCCATTTTGAAAATAGTTCTTCCTGTTTAAAAAAATCCACAAGAGTACAGTTTTGCTAGTTCTGATCTATAAGTGGAGACAAGTAGTGTATTATATGCTATCAACAACTTATGAACTCTAGTTGTCCATTAGATGAACACATCTTTTTACAAATATAAGGGAGTAACTATTTAAAACATACTTTAAAAATAAGTTTTTTCTGACTTTAAAATGTTAAATAGCCGGGGATTTAGCTCAGTGGTTCCACCACCTGCCTCACAAGTGCAGGGTCCTGAGTTTGATCCCCAGTAACAACAACAACAAAAAATGGTAAATGGATCCTGTTAATATTTACCATGTGTGCTGACAACAATCTATCCTTATATTTTGGGTGGAACATATAAAATAGAGAAAACCTAAAATATATTATTAAATATCATTAACATCCAAAAAAGAATTTCAGCACTCTGGGAGGCTGAGACAGGAAGATAACAAATTCTACTCCATCCTGGGCAAATTAGAAACTCAGCAAGACCCTGTCTCAAAATATTAAAAGAGCTGAAAAAAAAAAAAGGAAAAAATATTAAAAGAGCTGGAGGTTTAGCTCAATGTGAAGGCCCTTGGTTCAATCCTCAGTACTGCCAATAATAATTGTTAATTAATATTAAAGAAAATAATGTTCTAATGAATAATAATAATGATTGTTATATAAAATCCAAATGATAAATGAAAGGTCTTGGAGACAACCATTTTTGTCTCTGTGTCTTACTGAAAACTTTATCTTTGGTGGAGAAAGACCTGATGGATAAAATAATATATTTTAAATATCAATTAATCACACTGACATGTAAATGTAAATTATTAGCCATAATAATTATTTTCAGTCTATTATTTCAAGAACTGATATAGTCAATCCTTCCATTGTTTTTGGTTCAGACCCCTAAGGTGGTAATGCCTGTGAATGTACAAGTAGCTTGCAAGTATAGTTGAGGCACAGATCCAGCTAAAATTTTACTTGGAGCTTATTCCTTGCTCACTCGTACAAAATCACCTTAGGAACCCACTCTAAGTAATTAAGAAATTATTTGATGAAAGTTGATTATTTCCTAAGCCCTCTCACTTAGTGTTAGGGACATCGATTCCTGAACATGGGATTCTGATGAACAAGTTTTTATATTATTAGCATCAAAATCAAAAAGTTTGCTTGATAACTCTCTTCCCTCATATTCTCTCCCTAGAGAGCTCAACATTTGAATTTGAGTCTTATCTCAGTGAATTTTTTAAAAATGTATGTATATCTTTTCATCTGGCTCTAAATTCATTGAAAACAAAGGCTAAAATAAGAGCCAAGATATATCATGTTAAGATACAAATTCCCAGTGATGAATGTCTTCATACTATATACCAATAAATTTAATGGGGGAAAAAAGTGAAAACAAAGGCTATGTCTCTGATGAGAAAACTCTCTCAGTTCCTGGCCAATATACCTAAAGTAGTAGGTCCTCAATAAATATTCAGTGAGCCGAGCATGGTGGCACATGCCTGTAATCCCAGCACTTGGGAGGCTGACACAGGAGGATCGCTGTGAGTTCTAGACCAGCCTGGGCTACATAGTGAGTTCCAGGTCAGTCAGTCTCAACTACATAGTGAGACCCTGTCTCCAA